AAAAAGATACTGGCTTATATCTGATGACTCTGTTCTTCTAGAACAAATCTCCCCAGGGTAGGCTTCCTGTGTGCCATTTAGCCCTCCCATGCATGAAGCCTGCATCCACCTCTTTACATTCTACCAAAGGTGGAAGCCTGAGGTTCTGGTTCCTCCAGCCCATGCTCCAGAGGAGATGCTGATGCTCAGCCTTCAAGAGGCACACAGCACTCTGCCGGGTCTCATGGCCAAGGCATATCCTTGTCACTGCCGTTTTACCTACAGTGGCTTTTGCTGTGTTTATAGAGGCATCTGTGGCTCTTGCTTCTCCCTGAAATTGGGTCCAATGAGAAGGAAATTAATGATGTGCTCAAGTCACATCTTTAACACGGAAGGAAATAGCAGCTGCTCATTGCACCACCAGGAGGAAGGATCCCATGTCTCTGCCTTGTTTGTGTGTTCTCCTTCTTCCCACCTGCAGATTCTGGGTGAAGTCTTCTCAGGACAGATCCACTTCCCTCTTATATACAAATTTAGTTGTGGCGTTTTATTTTTGAAAGCTGTTTCTGTTGATGGATAGAATTACTGCAAATAGGAGCTGGAGAGATGGCTCAGAAGTAAGAGCACTGACTGCCCTTCTAGAGGATCTAGGTTCAAATCCTAGCACCCACATGGCAACTCACAAATGTCTGTAACTCCAAGATCTGACCCTCTCACATAGATATGCATGCAGGCAAAACACCAATGCACATAAAATAAAGGTAAATAAAATTTTAAAAAGATTATTTTAGAATTACTACAAATATAATTCTGTTGGAAAGGAAACGTTGTCCCATCTCCTTGACTGTGTGTTTCTGAGTCTTACTCATTTTCCAAGTCGGCCAAGCCTCTCATTCATCTCTAGCATTACAGTAATTATGCTGGATGGCAGATGAATTGTTACCAGATATTATCTTAGAAACATGGAAAATTATGAGCTAATTTCAGCCATATCAAATTAATGAGAATGTTCTTTGTGGAGTGCTACTAGTGTAAACCTTTAAAAAATGACACGTGGGAGAGTTTTAAATCCTCTGTCTGTAGAGCTGAGGACTGGCTCTGCCAGCACACTCTGTGACCATTATCTAGCCAGTTGCTGAGCTGAGTCTTTAATCTTCCTTGGAGGTTATGTTAATTAAATTTCCTCTAGGTTTGGACTGTCATCAGCTATCACCGTGGATGGAAGTGGGGATGTATTAAGGTTCTAAGTGATATACCTTGGGTTACAGAAGTGATATCTGGACTAGGAGGACCATTCTATGGGTAAAAACTGTTGCTTGGCCTGCCTTGTAGTAGGGCAGTGATTCATCATAGCGTCTTAGTCTTTGATCTTGCTTTATTAACTAAGAGTCATTTTTCCCATGTGGACATGGCCACAGGCTGTACTTTAATGTGGCTGTCTCCAAGCAATTGAATTCTTTGATCTGAAGGTGATTTCCCACTTCTCTGTGTCTTAGACCTTGTTGGGTGTGAGGGAAGCTTGAGGTTTTTTGAATACTGCTCTGGACCTGTTAGGTGTCTGGTGGTAGTCCCTCTACACAGAAAACTGTCTCCCTACTGCTGTATCCCCCGCCATTTACCAGGATTGCACCTCTTCCTGAGAGTACAGTTCAGGGAAGGGCTTGCACTGACACCTTACACAGACGGAAAATCCAAGTGTTTATTCTTAGAAGTGGGAAGGGATAGGACTTGCAGTGATGGAGAAGGCCAGATGAGGCCTGTATCTCCAGCCGTACTGATACCTCCACCTCCTGCCCTACTCCCCAGGCCTCAGATACTCCTCCTCCTCCTCCTAAAACATACTCTGCTCACATCTCTTCCAAGTGATCTTTTCTTCATTTCAAATCAGACTTTTGCCCCCTCAAAGTTAAGACTTTGACCAGAAGATTCTCTGTGTTCAAATACTCTGGTCTTCCCACTTTCTGGATTTAGATAGTTTAATTAACTTCCTCATATCTGGCCTTCCTCAGTTGTAGAGATGTATTAATGGGAGGCCCTCACTCCTGGCTGTCTCAAGCATTAAAGGAACACCCACAGGGTCTTTGACCTCAGTGTCCTTTGGGTGCTTATATTCGATAGTTTTATTTCAACTTGACACAAGTGAAAGTCATCTAAGAGGTGAGAGCCTCAATTGAGAAAATGTCTCCGTAAGACTGGGCTATAGGAAAGCCTGTAGGGCATTTTCTTAAGGATTAACCCTAGAGAGCCCAGCTGGTCAGGGTATGGGGGTGTACTGGGGGGACACCACTGAGCTGATGGTCCTGGGTTCTGTAAGAAAGCAGGCTGAGCAAGCCATGGGGAGGAAGCCAGTGAGCAGCGCCCTCCATGGCCTCTGCATCAGCTCCCGCCTCCAGTTCCTGTGCTGTTAAGAGTTCCTGTCCTGACTTCCTTCAGTGATGAACAGTAATGTGGAAGTGTAAGCCAAATAAACCCTTTCCTCCCCAACTTGCTTTTGATCATGGTGTTTCATCACAGAAATAGTAAGATAGTGCTGGCGGGCAGGGCCCCTGCAGTCTTTGAGATTGATGTGTGAAAGAAAGTTTCCACCCCGCTCTGATTCCCTCCCTCACCCTACCGCTGGACCCAGGGCTGCTCTGTGTACAAAGGGCCCCCCTCATCTGAGGCAAAGCTGCTGGATGCTGATTGATTCCACTTCTAGCTGGCTGAGTCTTGTTTTTTAAGTGTTGTAACATCGTCTCATTCTCACAGAGATAGAGATGGTAGAGCTAGAGGTATAATCATTGCACCTGACTCATTTACATCTTCCCCACCACCCCTGCAGTGCTCTCCCCAACATTAGTCTTCCTCCCCACCCCCACCCCCCGCCTTGAACATCCTGTGGGTCATTTGCAGTTCTCTTTTCCCAGCCTTCTTAGTGCCACCAATGCACATCAGGCTCTAATGGGGTCTTGCCTGTTCTCCTCCCTTACTTGGCCTTGTTTTCTTCCTGTCTATGGGTCACATCTGATAGTCATTTCTTAATTTGAATCCTTCAGAATCATCGACTGGCCCTGGGAAAATCCAAACCTTAAAAAGTATAAGTTTATAAGTAAAAGTTTATAAGCCCTGTAGGCAGGGCTCCTCCCCTCTCCTTCCCTCCGCTCTCCTCTCCTCCCTTCCCCACTCCCCTCAGTACACTGCACCTCCCCTCCTCTCTGTAGGTTTCCTCCCATATTGTAAATGCACGAGTTGAACAATAGCATATTAATATTCCAAAGTATGGACAGTTCACAGAGTATAAATCCGAAGTTACAGAGGTTCCCAGACAGTTCACAGAGTATAAGTGATTCAAGGAAAAATACTGAATTCTGTTGATTACCAAAGCAATTCAAAGACATTTTTACACCAAGTAACCAGAAATTAAAAGAAAAAAAAATGTGGAAAGTGTATGCATGGATATAATTCATTTTGATCATTATCATCCTCTACCCCCTTTTGCTTTCCTCCAGTTTCTCCCCTATTCCCTCACCTCTTTTGCTTCCCATCTTCATAGGTGCTCCTTTCCCCCACTGACTCCACCTGTGTTCACATGGTGCAGGTACTGGAGGATGGGTGGTCTCTCACGGCCCACATCCCTGATGAAAACCAGTTTTCTGTCTTCTAATAGCCATTAGTTGCCAATAACTCCTTGGCTAGGTGTGGCACTTCGCCAGTCCCTCACCCATTCATGCTGGCTCGAGCCTGTTAGAGCATCAGTTCTCAACATTTGTAAAAACTGTGTCAAAATACTTAAACAAACTCAGTAAAGATTATGTTAAAAATGTAACATTGTTGACTGTTGTTAGAACGACGTTCATGGCAAGGCAGGGATAGAGAAATAGCAAATTATTTCTACCTTTCTGGGGGTGTGCCTGCTTCTGCCTTTCATTAAACAGTGCTCTGGGGAACGGAGAGGTGGATCTGTGGGTAAAAATGTTTACTGTGCAGGCAGGAGGACCTGAGTTCAAATCCCCAGCACTTATATAAAAAGCAGGGCATGGCTAGATGAGCAACTGTAACCCCAGCATTGTAGGGGTGGAAACGGGACTGCTGGGGCTTGCTGGCCACCAACCTGAGCTCCAGGTTCAAAGAGAATTTTTAAGTGAATACAGTAGAGAACAGTAGAACAAAAATGCCTCCCATCCTCCTCAGGCCTCTTCCAGGTACTCACAGATGTCTGTACCTCCATAAACACCTGAACATACACACATATCACATACAACACATACACCAAAAAAAAAAAATAATAATAATTAAAAGAAAAAGAAAAAGTGCTTTTTCACATGGTAGTTCTGCTAGGATAATATCCGTAGGAAAGAATTACGAACTTGAAGAGGTATATAAAATTGTCAGAACACTGATAGCAGCATATGATAGAAAAAGAACCAGATGTCCTTCACTGGGGATTAGTGAGTTGATACAACTTTGTGCCAGCTCCTGAGCATTTCTCTAAATTGGGGAAATGTATCCTTGTTGGTGGTACCCTGACATGTCCTGGGTTTGAGACGTGGCATCAGACCTATCCTTTTTCTGTACCCAATCCAGGCACCTTTTCAATTCCCAGGTCTCAGCCCACAGATACATACAAACCTAAAACTGGTACCTTTAAAGAATTGTGTGGTGGTATGTTTGGAGTGGAAAGTTAAATGATAAAAACAGTAGGCAAAATATGAGTCTGGTCTTTTTTTTTTTTTTTTTTAATTACCTTTTAAAAGACCTGCCAGTATACAAGAGAATCATGGCTGATCTCCCTGTCTGTCTGTCTCTCCTCCCTACAAATTTCCTGCTGTCGGCCCTTTATCAGTTATAAAGGAATCAGCTAATGCCGCTATTTCTAATTTCCCAAGACTCTGCAACATTGATTCTGCAATCCAAGTCTGTGTGCACAGGGCAGAGCATGGCAGTTCAGTACTGGCACGTGGAGGAGGCAGTCTTGCTAAATCCCAGCTACTGCTCGCTTGGATGGTGTATCTTACCTGAGGCCTCACCTCTTCCTTCCACAGCTTTGAGACCTTCGAGATCAACAGCTTTGAGCAGTTTTGTATCAACTATGCCAATGAAAAACTCCAGCAACAGTTCAATTCGGTAGGCTCAATGTATGGCCTGGGTTGCTGGGACGGAGGTTGGAAGGAGGCTCAATGTATGGCCTGGATTTCAGGGCGGGGGGCTTGATGTACCTCTGGAATGACACCCAGGCTACTTCTCTTCTGAGACTGGTGTGATTTCGCTCTGCCTCGACCTCCCCTTTGCTTCCTGGTGGTGCTCCCAACTTGTGGAATTGGCCCCCATTGCTGGGGTAGGAAATGTGCCTTGGGCAGCTATGTAGAGGAGTTAAATGTTCTACCTTGACTTTGAGCTACTCCTCTCTGGGCCTGCGCTTTCAGGGCATTTAAGGAACTGAAGACCAGGTGCAGGATTCCTCGAGTTGGCTAGAGTCCAGCAACATGTGGGATTCTGATATCCTAAGACAGGGGCTGAACAGGAATGGGAAACTACCTAGCTGAGCTTTGTCATTTCTGCTCATAACTGAGTTAGTGTCCAGGTCTTTTCTGGTATTTATCTGTCATTTCCCAAGACCCAGAATTTAACAGGAGCTTGAGGGAAGTAACTGTCAAGATGTGTCCAGAGCATACTCACCTTAGCCCTTTGCTTCTCTTCATAGCATGTGTTCAAGCTGGAGCAAGAAGAATACATGAAGGAGCAGATCCCATGGACCTTGATTGACTTTTATGATAACCAACCTTGTATAGACCTCATAGAAGCAAAGCTGGGTATCCTGGACCTATTGGATGAAGAGTGTAAGGTAATACTTCTCCTGTAGTCATTGAGTGGCTTGGGTCTAGTGTTTGGCAGAGGGCTCCTGTGTGGTGCAATGGAAAGCAGGTACTGTGTTGGTGGTATGGATTTGTTCTCACAGGTCCTAGATGCCCAAAGAAGCAGCTAACATCTAGACAGGTGTTCACCCAGAGATGAGGACTTAGAGCCTAGGGTGGTCCTTACAGTATCAGATGGTTGTGAGTAATGGACTCTCATGGGGCAGTGAGGGCCACATTTTCCCACCCTCAAAGTCCCACCCTGTGGACTTCCCTGGTACAAAAGACAGTTGTGCCAATAGCAGGAGAGCACCTGGCAGGTAGGAATGTATGGTGAAGAGCTCTGCCTGTAACCCAACTATCAAACTTCCTTGGTTTCCTGCCCTATGAATTGATGGGACTGATTTGGATGTTGACAGTCTCTCCCAGCTCAGTGCCTGATAGGAAGGGAGTTGAGTGTGTAGCTTTTCTTCCCTTTAATGATAGACACCTGCATGAGAAAGCATAGAAGCCATGTGGCTTAGTCTAGAAAGAGAAGAACCAGTTGCTTTGACTTCTGTCTCCCACAATTTTTTGGAAAAGCACCGAGTGTGGCTGGGCATCTGGGGAAGAAAAGGAGTCTCTTTTCCAGAAGGGTGTTCTTGAGCATTGCCTTGGTGCACACTCATAATCCAGCTCTCAGGATGCAGCAGTAGGAGGATCACTCAGATGTAAGGCTAGCCTAGACTAAAAAGTGAGTTCAACACTATCCTATGCTAACTACTGAGACCCTGTCTCAAACAAGAGAACCTTTCCCCACCCCTCTAAGAAAATAGAAAATATATCAAATCCTGCAGCTGGCACACATCCATCTCTTAAATTTTGGGGTGGCGGAGAGAAATTGGGAGGCAGAAGTCTCAGTCTATAGCCCAGAAGAACCTAGACCTATGTAACTCAGACTGGCCTCACACTCATGATGATCCTCCTACCTCATCCTCCCCAGTGCTGATGTTGCAAGCATATACCATCACAACAGCTCTCCTAACTTTACAGCATCTCTCTGCAGACGTGGACTCTATCTCCAAAGTCAGCGCCTGGGAGAAATGATCCCATGTGTTTTAGCTTGTCTAGGCTTGTCTAACCTGAGAAGTTACAGTGAAGGTGGAACAGCTGTTCCTGGATGGATTTGCCACTGGCCAAAATCATAGTCAAGGCTCCAGTCAGACTACAACTTTTCACTCTCCTTCTGACTGGGGAATGTGAAGGTCATGCCATCTTGAGGGACCATGAGGATGTCCTGTTCTACACAGGTCTGCCTGGGTCTGTGTGAAAAATTTGATGTATCACAAACCCAGGAGCTCCCAGGGAAGACGGCCTTTCATATCCCATTTACTCACAGCCTCTCACAAAAATACCTCAGGGCTTCAGTACAATCTGTTCTGAGACCTGAACAGCTGTGAGATGGTGTGCAATGAATTGCACTTCCCTTTGCCAGCATTCCAAGGCTACCTGTGGGTTTCTCTGGCCGTATTGTCTGAAGATAGGAGAGGAGTCATCACCCAAGGAAACAAGATGGTTTCCAAGAGTATTGGTTCGTAGAGTAGGACATAATCCCCTGGGGGAATTGCAGAGCAGTGCTGGCTGGGGACCTGGTGGCTTTGGAAGCCATGTGTCAGCACAGGGGAGGTAATGGTCATGGAGAACACAGACAGACTATGCAAACTATGTTCAGCAGTTGGCTGGGTAACGCCCTCAGTTCCTGTCCCAGTCCAGGGAGTATACCTAGGCCCTCCTACTGTCTTTACTTGGGGAACACATGTCTGAGGGTAGTCCTCTTGGAATCTACCTACCTATGAGAAGACATATAAAAGCAAAACTGTCCCAGCCTCCTGTTGTCAACACCTGTGAGTCACCAAATGTGACCTGGTGCTGCATTTGAGAGCAAATCCCTAAGAAGCAGCAGGACAGTGGGCGCAGGGCCCTGGGAGATCTGCAGGCAGAGCCTGTGTTTGGAGTCTGAGTCCCACAGCAGGCCCAGAGGCACATAAGCTTGGGCCGCAGTGCAGTGATAGTGACAGCGGTGGAATGGAGAGCAACAAGGGCCTAGTCAGATCCTGAGCTGCGTGGCTGTTGTGTTTCCACAGGAGGCCTCCCTGCACCATGGCTGACGGACCTAATTGCCCCTTTATCAAGCTAGCGGGGATGTCAGGCAGTGCCTTGTGTCTTAGGTCATGGGTGTGGCAGAGGAGGCCAGGCGAACACTAGGTTAAGGAATAAGATATAAGTCTGCAGTGTGAAAGCGAGTTGCTCTGGGAGGGAGGGGTGTGAGCATGATCGGAATCAGAGTCTAGCAGCTGCAGGCTTTAAAACAGCAGATGCTGCTGCATTTGTCAAACTCCCCCAAATGAGCCTTTTAAAGGGACGGTACATCAATATGTCCAAGAGTCGGGGTGCCTCCTAGAGCAGTGCTTCTCAACCTTCCTAATGCTGAGACCCTTTAATGTACTTCCTCATGCTGTGGTGACCCCCAACCATAAAATTGCTTTGTCACTGCTTTCTAACTGTCATTTTGCTGCTGTTATGAATTGTAACATAAATATTTTTGGAGATAGAGGTTTGGCAAAGGGGTGGTGATCCCCAGGTTGAAGACCACTGCTCTAGACACTTCTGGGAGTTAGTTCCCATACCACGATCCTAAAAGAGCTGCAGGATTTCTGTGGTGTTGATGGCACCTGGGCAGCCTGACACTTCCATGCTACCTTCGGAAGCCACCTCAAAGGAGACCTTTGTCTCCTTGTCTCTCAGAGCCCCTGAGAAAGAATAATGAAGCATCACTGAAGAACTGAGGTCTGTGACCTCCCTGGGATGATTCACAAAGCCAAGTGAGGACTGAACTCCTGGTGTAGTAGTCAGTGGGCAATCACTGGCTTGGAGACGTTGAGGGAAGCAGATCATTAAACCGCTTTGGTCCCTTCAGGGGGAAAAGCCTGAGCTTCTTCAGTCAGAGCCAACCAAGCTACAGCTGTCCCTCCATTAATTAAGAGGGCAGGAAAGATGCCATGTGATTGTAGGCTGTTCTTACCAAAACTCTGCTGTCCCCAGTGCACCAGGAGATTGTCTTGGGGTAGGAGTGGTGGTGGGATCACTTGCCAGCCTACATACCCCTAAGCCATTTCCTGTACTCTACTGTCCTACGTTCCTGCCTCTTCCTTCTTCAGGGGGCAAGCTAGTCTAATTGATAGGATATGATAGGTAGGTGTGTGCTTCCCCAGCGGTGACGACTACATCCTAAAAGGATAGGAACCCTGCCAGAAGTTGGAGAGGTGGTATTGGAAGCCCACAAAGTCAGGGTGGATGGGAGAGGCGAGATCTGTCCTGTGGGGCTCACACCCTTTTGTTTCATGGAACCTGATGAAAGCTGAGCAAATGGACTCGTTTTCCTGATTACCAAGTGGTTGTTAGAGGCTATGTGACACAGTCACACAGACCAGTGACAGAGGGGCCTCTGCCCGCCTGCCCCTTACCCAGGCAGCCTGTTTTCAGATTTCTCTGTTTTCAATAAAGCTCTTAAAAACACTTTACTCTTTGCTATTAAGATAAAGTAGCTTTTTTTTTTTTTTTTTTTTTTTTCTTTTAAGGAGGCAGTGTTGGGGAACGGAAATCTTTCTCTAATGTCCCCAAATAGGGACTCTTTCACCACAAACATTTCCCTGCTTAGAACATCACCTGGGGCCAAAGCCTGCCCCCAACAGAACAGCAGACCAGAGGTGACAGCTGAGGGCTCCTTGACCAGCTTCAGCCCCTCTTTTGTCCCTGTCCCCCTGGGCCACTGCTAAAATGATGGCTTTCTTCTGGGTTACCTATGTGTTATCTTGTTCCTTCCTGTACCTCCGTGCCCTCCCACATGTCCCCATAAACTCTCAGATCACGCCTGCACTAAAATATCCAGCCCCAGCCCCTCTTGTCCCAAAGACCTACCATTACCTTGCTGCTCCTTCTTGCTTTCTCTTTTCTTTTTCTGTTTTGTTTGTTTTATGGCAGTGTAGCTCTGCTTGGCCTAAAACCTTATGTGGAGCAGGTTAGTCTTGAACTAACTCTGCCTGCTGAGGGCTGGGATCAATGGAGTATGCCACTCTGCCCAACCCTCTAGAACACTTCTGTCCCCTCAGTGTCACAGAGCCCAGCTGGGCCCAGGACTCTGGTGCCATAGCTCTCTAGGGAGGTGGTTGCTTCTTGCACACCTGGCTACATTGCTGAGCTACTTGGGTCTTGGTTCCACCACCCTCAGGAAACACCCATGTCATCAGCAGAACAACAGCCCGACCTACTCATGCCCTGTTCCCTGCTTCCCCTCATCCAGGGATGTCAGAGCTCCTGTATCAGTTCATCCTTATTGCACCAAGCCCTGCCGATCTGAGTGACAGCGCTGCTGCCAAAGTCAGACCAAGTTTCTCTCCGAGATTCTCCTCTGTGGGTTGAGACTCTTCTCCCAGCTCGAAGCAGGGTGCTGATCCAGCAACTCCTGTGTCCATTTATGGTCCTTGACCTCAGCAAACACACCTAAGTTGTACTTTGCTTCCTGTTCAGAGAAGCTGCTCCCACGCCCACCCAGCCTGTGACTGTGCAGAGGCCTCCTTGCTCCTTCATAGGGAATCCAGGTTGCCAGGCAGGAAATTAAAAACTGCTGTAGGTAGCTCACTGGGAATAAAGCTAGCCTGATCCTGAGTGTAACCTCTGGCCTCACTCTCAAATTTAAAAAGACAAAAAGAAATTCCTGCTAGAATATTCATCAATTTCTCTGCATCCCAGGATGCCCTAGAAAAGAGATCGTCCCCTAAAAAGGACAGCTACCCTCCTGACCAGCATCCCATGCGCTCTTGTCTCCTGGGAGACCACAACCCCTGCCTACTGGACAGATTCTAGGTGGTCTTTCCATTGTTGAGCTCTGTACTATCCCTGTCTGTCCATGCTGGGCTCTCCCTCCAACTCAGCTTCCAGAGACCTGTCCCCATACAGGTCGCCTATTCTGGGTGGGTTGTGACTTTCTGATAAGTGGCATCCAGTACCACAGGCCAGAGAGGGAGCTGATCCAGATACCGAGATTTGAGTTGATACTGTGAAAATATGTTGAAACTATGGCTAGCAATAAGCACTGTGGGTGTTGGCTATTGCTGTGCTGAGAATCCTAACTGGGAGTCCCTGCTGGCTGATCTTAGTTGGAAGTAGAATAGGGAGTTACAGGAGAGATGGATCTCAGTCAGAAAACATGACCTTGATTCTTGGTCTCCTGTGGCTGTCCATGCCCATCTAAATTAGTGACTCAATAGGCTCATAGGATTTTCTCACTGAAGTCCAAGTGCATTTTCAAGGCGAGGTGACTTGGCTGCTGGCATATTGCAGCATTTGCTTAGCAGAGCTTCTCTTTGTGGTTCTGTCTGACCCAGTTGGGTCAGTCCATTGAAGTCCTTCTTGCTCCCAGGCTCTGGCCTGCCTGGTCCTGACAAGCTCTGCTATGTTGGCTCCTCCTTCGCCCACACCTGGTAGGTCTAAAACAGAACTTGGAGAATTCTTGGAACAAATATAAAAGAGTATATATAGAAAGTGCTGAATTAAATATATTTTATTGTCTGTCCAACAGAATTAATAGCCTCCTTCAAGGAAGAGGTTTCTTCCTTCAATTTTCCTCTAGCACATGGCACCGGGGTTCAATACTAGTTAGACAAAGTTGAATCTTGAGAAAAATCACTTTGCTTACAAAGGCCCTAAGAAGTTTGCTCCCACCTCTGTAAGCACTTTCCTTTTGGAGCACACCCTGTTTACGGAATAGAGTCTTGCCTGGTCTGAAAGTGCAGTGTAAGCTCATGAAGGCGAGTGGGGGTAAGCTGCCCCTCTGCGGACTGTTAGTGGGTGTTGACCATAACCGCATGAATGACGAACCCCTTCTTCTTCTAACAAGCCCCCTCCTACTTCAGTGCCTTCGTTTTAACCTAATGAACCCAATGCTGTTTCTATTGGCATGAGCGTGTGTGTGTCAGGGGAGGGAGGGTGCTGCTTTCCTGGAACAGGAGCAGTTTTTCAGTAGCTACACCACTGAAGAAAATGACTCCCTCCACCCTAGTACCCATTAACTGCCTGTTGACTCTCAGCCAGAGGTGGAGTCTTATCAGTCCCTCCCTATACATGATAACAGGCCCAATCTTGTGCAGGTAGCCACAGCTTCAGTGAGCTCATGGTTACAGTGACCATGTCATGCCAATTTCACACCCCCAAGAGTTCAGGCACCTACATCATTTCCCCCCTCTCTTCCAGGATGTTTCCTGAGCCCACACACCCTCTGTCCTATGTTTGCATGTGAGATAGATGTCTCACTTAGGGCTGGGCACTGCACTGCCATGTATTCCCCACATTCGGACAAGCTGTGACTCCATCAGCCACCAACTACTACAAAAAGAAACTTCTCTGGTGAAGGCCAAGGGCAGCACTGATCTCAGAGCACAATCAGCAGTCTGTGTCATAGCTTCAGTGAAGCAAGTTGCTTCTTTTCTTTGGAGGCCATCTGTAGAGATGTAGAGAGAGGCTGGCCCTGAGAGCTTGTCACATACTGAAACTGCTTAAGTCTAGATCTACATTCCGAGGACAGGGGATAGGTGAAGGATTACTCAGTGTGCAGCCAGAAACCAATTCTCAGTCCTTTGAGGGGTGGGGAAAGGGATAAGACTGTCCTTTGACTGTATGGACTTATAGTATATTGTAACAGTATCCAGAAGCTAATTGTGAACTGTAATACTATGCCTGTGCCTGTAAGTTCAATTGTTAGAAATTCCAAAGAGAGACAGAAGACCAAAAATAGCCAGAAAAGGCTTCAAAACAAAGGGCAGCCTGAGCCAGGGCAGTAGTATGGATGAGCTACGGCAGGGGTTATAAGCTAATTATGCCAGTCTTCTGAGTGAGCAAGAGCATGGTGGCAGAGTGGATAGGAGCATCTTCAGACAACTCCAGATGGGATTCTGCCCCTGTTGCCTTGGTGTCCATCTTCATCCTCTCCTCAGACTTCTCTTTTCTGCTGGCTAGCTTATTCTTTGAGACTCAACGCCCTCCCATGGATGCCCCACACAAGAAGTCAATGACCTTTCATAGCAGGATCCTAAGAGTTCATGGTTGAGTTGTTCTTATCAAGGTCCAGTTAGAGTCCTGGCTCGAGAGCTGCATCCAGACTCCAGCCCTCTGCCATGATGCTTCTCTGCCTTGGCCTGCTTCGTGAAGTACTCTGCCTGTTTGTGCTCCTCCAGGTCCCCAAAGGAACTGATCAGAACTGGGCCCAGAAGCTCTACGAGCGACACTCCAGCTGCCAGCACTTCCAGAAGCCACGCATGTCCAACACATCCTTCATTGTCATCCACTTTGCAGATAAGGTACCTGTCCTCTCTGCTGACCTGGGACAGACACCTTAGGGCGGCAGGAGGCAGAATAAAGGGTTTCCAGGCGAAGGAAGTTGTTGTTGTGAGTTCCCGTGGTCTGAAGTTGCAGGCTCTGCTCTTTTCCCCACCCTGCCCTGGCCCAACTCCAGTATACTGGCTGTCAAAGACTTGGCCTTTCAAAAGCACAGCAGGTAGTAACTGAGGTCTGCTCTCCAGGGAAGGTGGCCGCAGGGGAAAAGTTAGGAGTCTGCTGCTATTGGGCCTGAGAAGTGGGAGAAGTGAAAAGCAGCCTGCCCTGAACCTCTTAACTGGATTTCTATTGACTTCTCAGGTGGTAATGTGCATGTAATTGCATATCCTGATTCAATTCATCTGGGCCGCTGGCAGAGATGTTGCTTTCATGGAACCCTAAAGAAGCCTTCTCTCATGGGAATTCCCTTTAATACAACATTGTTTTATTGTTTCGTTTTCTTTCAAATGAATACTCTTCTTAATCTCGGAGTATCAGATTTGCATTTTAAGCAGCAACCTCTGTGGGTCTCCATCACTCTTAGCTCTTTAGAAAATGTCACTAGATGAGATGAAACTACTTAAGAAGCCTCTGGGGCTCCAGAAGCACTAACTGCTCTTCCTTCATCGCCATGGCCCCAGGTGGAGTACCTTTCGGATGGTTTTCTGGAGAAAAATAGGGATACAGTGTATGAAGAACAGATCAACATCCTGAAGGCCAGCAAGGTAAAGGCACTGGGGATGTGGGAATGTGGTTAGCAAAAGGGTTCAGTGGGAGAGTTTTGTAGTCAGTACTTGTACAGGGCCCTGAGCTCAATCCCCAGCACCATAAAAAACACATACATGGGACCTGGGTGTGGTCCTGCATGTCTGTTAATCTAGCACTCTGGAATTAGAGGCAGGAGGATCACTGCAAGCTCATGGCCAGCCTGATCTCTACATAGTAAATTCTAAAGGCAGCTGGGGCTAAATGATGAGACTGAAGAAAATAAATAAATAAACCAACAGATGAGAGATGAGGGATGCTGCTGTGAGCCCCACTGTGGAGTGCAGGAATGGAGAACTGTGGGGGGTGTTAGTTACATCTGGGCGGGGAGGGACAGGAAGGAGGTGTCTGTCCCAAGAGAGAAAACTAGGGAAGACACCCCAAATGGAAGTATATGGGAGCCGCAAGCAGATGATGACCAGGAGGATACAGAGGAGTAAGTTGTGGTGAAAGGTTTGCTGATACTCAACTCACTTTTCTTGCCTCCCCTGCTTGCATATGTAAGACTTTTCCTTCCAAGCCTGGTGTCTGTGTACTTAGTTTCTATTCAGCCATCTGAAGGGAAAATCTGAATGTAACTGAATTAGTCAGGGTTCCCTAGAGAAACAGGATCAGTAGAAAAAGTATCTATAATATTTTATTAGTGCGACTCACAGACTGTGGTTCGACTATTCTGACAATGGCTGTCTCTCAAGAGAAAGTCCAAGCATCTAACAGTTGTTCAGTCCAAGATGCTGGTCTCAGCTGGTCTTCTCTGTATGTCAGAATCCCAAAGAAGTAGGCTTTAATACTAGTGGAGGAATGGACTTTCCATCAGAGAGGAATCAAGTAGGCACAGAGCTTCCTTCTTCCATGTCCTTTAAATAGACTTCCACAAGAAGGTATGGCCCAGATTTAAGGTGGATCCTCTCACACCAAATAATTCTGTCAAGAAAAATTTCTCACAGGTGTGTCTAGCCAATTAGGTTTTAGTTCATTCCAGATGTAGTAGAGTTGACAAGCGTGAACCCATATCACAGTAATAAAAGGTTAGATTTCAAGGACATTTAAATCTACTCTGGAATATTTATTGTCTCCAAATTTTCAGTCTCTGGAGCATAGCAAAGGAATGCAGGCAGTGTGACCGTCTGTACTCCTCACTGCACACATTTGTTAAACATTTGCGTATGCGTCACCACCCCGAACCCACTATTCCCATTCAGAGACAGTAAGATAAGCTACATTCTTATTGCCCCTGGATGGGACGGTACAGATCTGCTCAGGAAATATGACAGGAACAGACTCAGGGAGAGTCTGCAGCCTGGAGAGGCTAGATAACTTGGTGAAAAGGAAGTCTGGGGAGGGCCGCAGCCAGGAGAGGCCGGTGAACCCGTGTCCCGGTTGCCGATGCAGGCGGAGATGGTGCGGCCAGCCTTCAGGAGGACTCAGGGTGCGACCACATGGCACCAAAGTCAGTGCAGGGCCCTGATAACACTGGAGAAATGACAGAATCAGTTCTCCTTGTGGAAAGGTTCAGATTGTGATTAAAATCGAGATAAGTGGTAGAATGCAGAAAGTACAGCCAGCAGTATCGATCCCAGGGTTTAAATCCAGGCAAACCCTTTTCCATCAGGGGCCCAAGATGGGATTTAGGGAGGGATTGAATTGGCAGAAGCCCATTGCTCATTGTCATCTGAGGATAGCCAGGTCAGGGAACTAACCACAGAGACGATCAATTTGGCATAAACATCCATAGTGTTTTAGAGTTCAATGCCAGATTGATGTTTTAAAATCAAATCTAGGCAGTTCACAGGAGTTTTTCCATTTTTGGCAAGAATGGGCATATACTTGTTGTATTGTGCAACTCTTCTCTTTTAGTTGCCTGGAATCTAAGAGATGGCCCTCAGGCATGGGAGCCTCTGTCATGTTAATGTGAAGTCCTCCTTTCTGGGAGAAACATAAATAATGATTTAAGTAGAATTTCGTTCTGCTACAGCTCGGTTTTGATTGTCTTAATTTGAGGAATTCAGGGATGTCATACCTGAATGGGACTGTTACTGATAAGAAAAAGTGTTTGGTAAGGCAAGTGTTGTTACTAGCTGAGAAGTTTTCTCTACTTAATTTTATTTAACAGCCTCATTGAGTATTTATGTATACAGAAACATAAATAAATACATTTAGACAATTTCTGGGATCCTAGTCTAGTGAAAAAAAAATAGTACGTAATACAAAATGCAGAAAGACATGTGTGATTGTGGTGTAGGAATGTGAAGGTCAAGAAGAAAATTCTATAGAATAGAGTGTGTTGGGGACCTTACGGTTAGCAGTTTCCTAGGAAGTTGGATGTGGTTTACTTAGCGTGACAAATATTGCAGTGTAAGAATGCAAAACAAACTCCTCAAAGAACAGGTGCATGGTGGGTAGTCTGGGAGAAAGCAGGTGCAGGTTTCCAAGACTCTTTTCCCAGTGAACCCTCACAAGGCGTGCTGAACTCCCCAGAGAAGCAAGTGCAGTGAGAGTTTGCTTGAGAAAATGTCTGCCAAGGGCAAACAGGCACCCTGGGCTTAGCGTGAACTAAGCCTCCAGACTCCCAGGAAAAAAGCAGATGTTCACCGGGAAGGATATAGTTTGCACAGTCAGCTTGGAGATTGTGAGCCAGGGAATGGTGAAAACTCACCCGAAGCCCAAGTTACCATACAAGCAGGCATTGCTAAGAGTAGTGGTCTTGATCTTTTCTGCACATGATGATACTTTAAACAGGCTGGATTTTTATTAAAAATTTAGTCCTAAAACTTGAGTAAAAGAGTTACATAAAAGCCCGCTCTCCTAGTCCATGAGCCGTCTTCTGGCAAGTGCCTCTGCGCTGCGGCGCAATGGCACATCTTTTTAAGGGTGAAATGATCACTCTATGCATGCCCAGTCCCCTCTGATTCCGCGCTCATCCTTGTATGTTGGCCGTTCTTCCACATGCTTTGCTTTTCTTGAATAACTCTTGGTAGTTTGCTATTATTTTTTACAAGTGAAATTGATAGTTGAGTGAGTATGGACAGTGGTTGTAGAGTTAATAAATTGCGGGGCAAAAGAGTATGTTCTGTATTTTTGGAAAGATACATGCTCCCTTGTTTTGCCCCAGCCCGGCTACCCCACTTCTAGCTTTCTCTTTTGCCAAACCAGTGACCTCCTTGCCTCTCTCACACCCCCAACAGGAACCCTCAGATGCAGCTGCAGATCAAAGAGAGGCCCTGTGCTTTCAGGACCTGCCTGGCACATCTGTCACTGTGAATATGTACTCATCCTTGTTTACTAAGCCACTCTCTTTTTGTTGTTGTCGTTGTAGCAGTCCTTCAGAGCTTAGGTTTCAAACACTTGCCAAAAATAGAATAAAGACCTGGAGACATTTAAAACCCTAGGATATCAATTTAATAATGCAATGCCTATTTTTTTAAATATAAATTTTAATCTCTAAATGCAGCTAATTCTCAAATCATTGTGTAAATTCATAATTTTATTTCAAATACTTTTGTTTTATGAGAAACTGTTGGCTTTTATCCTTTGTGTGGTGTACCTGATAAAAAATTATCACCTTGTCGGGAGTGATTAAGAGCTGTGAAGTAAAGGGCTCCCACCTGCCACCAGCCATGGGGATGCTGGAAGAGCTCACACCCAGCGTGGAGATAAAGTGGTAATGAGAATGTGATTAGGGTAGCCTGTTACGCTGTGAAGAGTTAGCAAGGAGCTAATTGTCTTCTCAGCTATTACAGAGTTATAAATAGGGCCACAGCAAAGAAAGGCCTCTTTAAAACACAGTGTTAACACATTCATTTCTTCTAAGCGGCAAGTTTTCCCTCCCAAATTTTGCTGCCTATGAGAAGGAATGTTTTAGTGAATGGGGAGGCTGGGAGAGCAATCCCAAAAAGGACAGAACATCTGGAGATGTTCTCTTGCCTGATGTGTATAGGTCAGAGGATCAACTGGAAAGTCATATCAGTGTGAGCAGGGCAGTCTGGGCCATGGGTCTGGATGGACACAAGGGGCACACACCATCTCTTCACTGCATTCCATCAGAGAAGTGGCCAAGAACAATACAATTGAGAGAGTCTCTGTCCACCTACCCTGAGCTGATCTGTCCCCAGAGTCCAGGCATGACAGAGAAGCAGCTGAAACTGAACCCCAGTAGCACACTCAGAACAAGGGATGTGTGTTGGGATTCTCTGGAGCAGAGCCAATAAAATAAATTTGGGGGCAGGGGAGATGAACATATAAATAATTTGTGAAATGGTAACAACAGTTTTCTCCCGAGAGAGTCTGGTAGATAATCACCCTTTGAGGCCAGAGCCTCTGCAGTCAGAGGCATCCCACAGTGACTGTCTCACACCATAGAGGCCAACAGTCCAGTTGGCACTAGGTCCACAAGTCCGCGTGCCTCAGCAGCCCTGCTCAGGGACCACAACCCTGCAGGGTGCCTCTCACTAGTCCTTAGTTGGTGATGGACCCTGGCATCCTGGTTCTGACCTCAGCATGAAAAAAGCAGCAGTAGCAGCAATGACAGGACAAATCAGTGGCAGGAAAGAGGGCCAAGGACTTCACAGAAGATGCTGCCCTCATTTGGGGTGCATCTGCCCACATCAGTTAAGGTAGCCAGGACAGCGCCTCATTGTTTCCCTACCCAGGTCACTCAGTTTTGTGGCAAGTTGGCATTAAAACCAACCATCACCGTTTGCTTTTTTAAACTTGTTTTTATTTTATTTTATTTTATTTTATTTTATTTTATTTATTTACTTATTTATTTTTAGATTTACTTCTTGTTTATACAATGTTCTGTCTGCATGTACACCTGTAGGCCAGAAGTGGGTACCGTTTCTCATTATAGATTGTTTGTTGTAAGCCACCACGTGGCTGGGAATTGAACCCAGGACCTCTGGAAGAGCAGCCAGTGCTCCTAACCTCTGAACCATCTCTCCAGCCCAAAATCCATTATTTT